ATTTGAATACCTGCCAGATCTCGAGCATTATGCATGAGTTTCACACCTGCATATAAAATACAGTGATTTCACACATCAAGGACTCAAAAATCCTGACAAATTGTTCTTTAACACATGAAAAATCCCCGAAAATATTCCAAACAAGAACGCGCTTACAGTGGCATTCAGGTCTTGCCTGCTTGGAGATTAGATCGAGAAATGAGGAGGTGATTAATTCTACAAGAAACATGATTTACTCGCTAAAGGTGTTTTACTTCCTACTTTATCGATGTCGATACTTCTTATTTGTTCCTGAACAGACTTAGTACGTGTGTTAGCGACGACCAAAAATACCTCTGCGGTAGCAGGCTATACATGTGTATAAATACACGAAAATTCAAGGACCTCGATTCCAGAGGAATTAAAAAAATCGCATGCTCATCACAAAACTCATTTGCATACAGTGAAAAACAACCGACCATTGCAATTTTGCTAATTAAGATTCTTCTTTTTTTTTGACCACTCAGTAGTGTTCACTTGCTCCAAAGTATTCAACACTTTTAAGCGATAGAATTCATGGACTGACACATTTCAGAAAAGCTCTAAATCTAATCTTTCCTACGCTTTCTTCGCAAAACATTCCTGGCTTCGATCACGCAACGATTCTTAGTCCCAGTTTCCACAGTCTCCGCAAGGAACGCCTGGCACAATGACCTGCCTTTTGTGTCCTAAAATATGACCAAAAATTCTAGGGGGTACCAAGTGGCAGGTATAGTTTGTATAGTTGTGTAACCGAAAAAAGGCAATTTTACATACTTTGTATGTCCTGATTGTTTGATAACAAAGTGTCATAATTGGTATTTAATGACGGTTTGATCGAAACTTGTTGCTGATACGCTTCATCTAAAAACAATGGTTCAGCAACAACTTCTTTGGATGACAAAGGTCCTTCAGAGGAATCATTTTTGCCATCTTCTCTTCTCCCTCAATCAGCTCTTAGTGAATGACACTGGAATCACATCAGCTTTTACTAGAATGAATGATAAAAACAAATATTAAATGAAAAGGCTCACCTGATCTTATTATAATGCTATGAACTGACAAGGACATAACCGATGTCCAAAATAACAATAAGACAGCAGGCATTCTTTACACCTCGGTGGCACTTCCTTGATTAACCTAAAAATGCTGCCAAACAGGTTATACGAGTTTACAGGGTCTTGAGTCTTATAAATAGGGTATGCAGTGTCTTGGACAGAGTATATTTTCTGGACTGGATGACATTGAACCTTGGTGGTGAGCTGTCTACACGTGTGGTGTACAAAAAAAAGGCGCACATGAGCCAAAGGTCCAAACAGCTGGAGCTTATCCCAGTATCCTTAACATGAAGCATGCCTAGGAGTGTTGTTACTCCCCCCTGGATGGGATACTAGTCAATCTCAGGGTCCCCCCTCCCAGCAGTATGTTGCCAGTACTCATTTATAGATATTTTTGGGTCCTCTCTACAGCTCTTTTTAACCCTCTCTAGCAGACTGGGCTAAAATAGGTCTGAGTCGGGCCCAAAACATATTTATACCTACGAACACTATTTCTCTGGCCATGCATAGCCCAACTCTTCTGGGGATTCATCCCACCCCACCCCCCTCCTCCCCGAACCCGATAGAAACACGTGTATATCTAAACATGTCACGTTTTCCTCCCGCACCGGTATTTACAATAGGAATGAGCGCTAGCCAAACATTAGAGGAAGAATTTTAGATAATCAAGGTAAATCCGTGTAAAAAACTCTCCTTCCCATCAAGGGGGGAGGCTACGTTTGGACGCGAGTTTTTTTTAACCTACAACAAGATGTTGGCCGATTTATACAAAATCTGGATACGAATGGACAGAGTTGTGTTCACTCAGTTCATAGATTTATACAACGACAAAACTTCGCGGGAAAATTATCTCACGTTTTTACGTTCTCCCAAATACTGCCAAAAAGTCTCTTTCAGAAACCGGTGTTGATACTTTCCTTTCATAGGCTCAGATCAGGTGCGAGTTCTAGAAACTTTCGCGGCCCAGGAAATTATTGAAAGAACTTACCATTTCCTCCCGTGACGCTAAAAAGTTTCTCTGCGACTTTAGCTATATTTCCTCTAGTAACACTCGAGCAGTAGATATAGTTGCTTGATTGATCACCGAAGTGCACATAGAACGAGCCTTTCACGCCAGTTTCGCGCTTGATGTTTTGGCAGATGATTTTAGCGTCACCATTCTTCGGAAGCTCGAGCACATAGTCTTTGCCTTAGTACCTAACGGTGATTGATTCAAGTTTTTCGTCCTCACAATCTGGTTCTTGTTGTCTCTGTTTCTTGAATTTTCTTTTGATTTTAGCCTTTCCCCTATCAGTCATGATATATCTTGCTGAAGTAAAGATGCAAATATGGCTCGCTTGTTTACGTTTCAAACTCTTATAATGGCGCGTACATGACACAGACTTGACACGGCGCGGTATGGTGAGATTTGAAGCACCGCCCACCCGTCTTCGTTCTCCCCGTCTGCAGCGTGACTGCTATTATTATCACATCATTGAGCGTGACTTCACTATTCAGACTATTCCCTACTTTATAGTAAACCTGGAGAAAATATTGGTCCTGATTTGAGCGATACAATTTTTCTTCTCCTTTTTATAGCCTGTTCAACTGATTTAGATTTATACTGTGTTGCTAGTCGTTCTCCCCCACCACGTATGTATATCCAGGAAGTATATGCCCAAGATTTCTAACGCGACCCCTAATCAGCTCCTGGTGGTTTGTGTATTAATAGTAAGAACCCAATTTTCCGCCCGTGACCTGGCTGATCTGTTTTGTCCGTATAAAGCTTGAGAGAAAGCAAGTAAAGTCATTTAAAGTTGCGAGTGGGGTAGCCTAAATAAGACAGCCGAAATTTCGCCCCATCCCCCCACACTGATGACCACTGGTTTCATTTCGCGGGAAACCAGTTGACAAGTTTCTCAGGCCACGAATGGAGGGGCATCTTTAGGAATTTTCCAGAGGCTTACGCACTTTTCCAAACATCCTATGCCGTCTAGTATATTGTTCCCACGCAGGTGACTCGATTAAATCAGATTGAATTTTTATCAGTTTACCAGGGTATAACTTGCCCTCTCTGCGGGCAACAAGTGAAACATGGTTCGTGTAATTGCGTAGGCAAAATCAGAGGGAAACCACTATGTTTCGCTTTGGAAAATTATATGAAAGCTCATTTTCATAGAAAATTGCTCTTTTTCAGGTAAAACGTAGCTCTTTTACATTGAATGCTTTTGCATTGTTTTCCTACTTGAGGGCCTTGAGTCTTTCCTGTTTTGTTCATTATTCATGGTGCCAGAGGTCAGGAAGCCGGAGCACCCAACGAGAAAATAGTTCAAAACCACTTAAACATAGCATTGTTAAACGTATTTTAGTATTTAAACGGTAGATACAGGCATATTCTTATCCCCCCCAAATTTTTCATCCTCGGATTTCCTAGTTGAAAGTCTAGTGATCCGAAAACTATAGGGATCCAAACTTACCTTTTCGAAAATCTCAGCCAGAAAAAAGGCTCCCGAAAATTCTAGGAGAACTTTTTAGGGTAAAAATCCGTTAAAAATGGGCAATTAAACCAACTTTTAGATGTTCGAAAATCCTGGGAGAGGCAGGCAAGCGACAAATTTTACAACAAATGTTCCGAAAATACTGCGTCTCAAATCGTCTTGCGAACAGATATTTTCCGAAAATTGACGAGGAAGTGGTCACGGAAAAAATTTCTTGAAGGTCCGGGAAAAGTCGGGGGATTTCAGTTTGGATTTCAGTTTGGGTAAGGAAAAATTAAAGTTTTTGAAAGAAGTCAGGGAAAAGTGAAATTCAAGAGTACACATTTATTCTTTTCTCTCGACTTTTATTGTTTTCTAACAGTTAACAGTTTTTTGTACATTTTACGAACATATATCTGATATATGATTTAGTAGAATATTTTTCATGAAATTGAACGACAAGCTGATGTTGGGTTAAGAAGCTATTGCACGCCGCACGTGACTTGCTGATAGCATAAATAAATGGGCGAACACATGAGGAGAGGGTTGAGAGCCTCACTCTCCTGTTTGAGTGCATTTATATCAGGACTAATTTGTTAAATTGTATGTTAAATCGGTTGATCAGGGAAATTTTACCTTTGTCTGGAAAAAGTCAGGAAAAAGGCAGGGAATTCCAGAAACCTCTGGTTGTGGCAACCATGTTATTTCATATCCTTTCCAGGTAAGCGCGAGCGTGGACAGAAGATTTAGAAATCAAATTAACACGTGTCCTCTTAAACCACACCGGGCCAGTGAGAAAGAAATTTTTCTACTTAATAAACTATCTCTAGTTGATTCAGTCTTAGTAAGTACCCCTTTGTCTTTTGTGATCTTTTATCCTTTGTATGTATAATATTTCTATATCTGTAGATAAATTATGAAAACAACAATAACCAGCAGTTTATTGACATAATTTAATTTATTCTGACTAGGAAAACCTTAGTTTCCTATAAAGTCAGTAATAAGGTCATTGTGTATGGCTGAGGAAGGAGTGTTGCATGACAACTGGATTTGACCACAGTTGTGGACTGTTAAAAGCAAGGGAAAACTCGATTGCTAAGTGGTTTGAATGGCAAAGAGGACAATGGCAGTGCCATCTTAGAGTATGCAAAGTCCCTTATTAATTTCTCCAGGGCTATAAGGGCGAGCAGATTACTTAAGAGTGCATGAAAGTGACCACCCTGTGCAGGGAAGGTGACATGCAAAGTGAAGAGAGAAAAGTGACTGTACAAATAACATTCTTAATACAGACATCAAAGTGAGTCAAAAGCCCATGGGCCCCCGTTACGGAGGTGTCTGTAGTATAGCTAGCTAGGATGGTATGAAGTGGGTATTGTTGGGGCACGAGAATTTCCTTTCAAAGATAGGCACATTTCCATAAGGTTCAACTGTATTTTTAAAGTGCAAAAACAAATTTATTACAAACAGAGCATATACATTTCCAGTGAAGTGTTTCAATAATAGTAATATTATTACAGTAATAGCCATTACCTATATTTCCAGCAACTTACATTGCCTGAAGCCCATTCCCAGTATAAACTGGTGCACTTTTCTACAGTTGTCAGCAGAATCCTGGTTTTTTGAACAGAAAATCATTTCAAACCTCCCAATTTCATATGTGAGTCAATGGTTAATTCTGTTAGACAAACACTGTATTTTACTCCTGATTGTTCATGCCCCTCTTTTCTACACTTTTTCCATGCACAGAGGAAAGGGTTCAAAAATCTTGATTCTAATGAGTAAAGTAAGATGTCACTAAGACAACCTTGATTACTGTATTTCTAATTTCCTGCAAACCTCCAGTTTTCACTTCTTCTGCAAGCTGGATTTTCTGCACTACCCATCTTCAGCAGGATGTATTTCCTCATTGAGTGGATGTTAAAGGAAAACACCTTACACTTCAGGAATGAAATCTGACTCAGATTTTAGTTTGAAGGCAAACCTTTTACTTGATGACTACCTCCAGCATATTATGTGCATGAATTAGAAGATAGCTGTAAAAGGAACGGCATTTCATAGTTCTGTGTTCAGCTTGCTGCATGTTACATCAGTGGCCTTCCTTGGCTGTCAAATCTTATTTAGCGCAGATAAAGTATAACATATCCTGTTAATAACGCAAAAAACCTGTCTAAACATGCAGCCTAAGTGGTATACAAAGTTAGTATTATTTATCTTAAATTAAAACTAGCCAAAAATCTGATTCAAAGATGTCATAGTTTTCTCTTGGCAAATAAATATTAGATCCATATCTGTTAAATTCTGAGATTTTCATGCCAAAAACTTGTCATTAACATGCCCCATGTACAAGCAGCTGTCACGCAAAATCTTTTCTTGGTGACGTAAATCTCTCTGGGAAATACTCTTCTTGTGTTCTTCAATCATGTTTACATAGTTGGCATTTATGACACCTGGTCTTCCTGTGCGCCCCATACTGATCAAATATTTTTCTCTCAAATTTCCCCGTTCCTTTTCCATTTCATCTTTTTGTAACTTGTTTCTTTCCTCCTGCTGCCTTTTTCTTTCCAGTTCCAATTCCTAGAATTGAGGCAGAAAGATGACAGAGTAATTGACTTGGGGGCCTTTGATACATTTTGAGCAAAAACAAGAGGCCTCTAATAGCCAACATTTCACGCGTCACCACCGGTTTCCCAGAAAAATGAAATCTGAGGAACAAACGTACAAATTCCATACCGATGATGCATCACTACCCATATCCAGATAGTGCTCCTGATTGGTTGAAAATTTGCTTCATCCAATCAGAACCACAACCCAGATCTTGGTAGTACTAGTGACATATCATCAATATGGGATTTCTATGCTCGTTCCTCAGATGCAGTGGCAAATCCAGACCTTCAGATAAGTGAAGGGCCAAGTCTCAACTTTCGGCACTTTGGGCGTCAGTTTGGTTTGAGGGGGTGGGGGGGGGGGGCGGGGGGCAGGCCACTGAGATGTCATTTCGTGGGGAAACCAGGTGACTCTGTGAAATGTTGACTGTTTTCTCAGGATAGCATCTTTATAGGATGAGTTTTAAAAGAGATCCAAACTTTGCTTTAAGATGCCTCTTTAAGTCTTAACAGTGGCCAACATTAATTTTCTCCTATCAGTATCAATACATTGTCAAAAGGTTGGGAGAACTATCAAAATGGTCACCTCAGAAACATACTTTGATCAGTTAAACAACGAATTCTTTGAGGAATTTAAATGATACAAAAGTATGATATGCAAAAAGAACATATCTGCTGTTGTAGAGGGATGTGGGAGAGACTGTAAAGCCTTGTTCTCATATGCTGCCGATGTATCTGCGAAGTAGCTGCCGGTACCGCCTGCGACACTTCTTAGACAAATGAGAACATGCGCCGCCGGCAACTAAAGCCATCGCAGAGCTCTACTGCCAGCATGCCTACGAAGTTGAACTTGCGTAAACTTTGCAGGCATACCAGGGGTAAAGACTTGGATGAGCAATGTTGCCCGCCACTTCTGTTCTATATCGGAACAGTGTCCCAGGCAGTACCAGCGGCCATGTCGTAGGTGCATCGGCAGCATATGAGAACCAGGTTTAACTTATGTTCAACTTAGTCCTACTGTACGATAAACAGTTTTTAACTATTCTAATTTTAGTCCTACCGCCATAAACAGTTTTTAATTTCTAGTTGTATCATGTATCTATAGTTTTAGTTGGTAGCATATTTTAGGCAATTGCGAGAAAAATGTTGTTATACATTCTTAATCTCCAAGTTACATATTTTGAGAAATTCTCTTGTAAAATTATTTTTAGTTCATCTTTGTATTTTAGTTTATTTTAATTCGTGCCGACGGCGCCAGAACGAATGAATGATACAGTTAGGAAAGCTTCGATCCGCCTAAGGAATTCGTGTCTCGACGTTCCTATTTTCGTGTCAACAAGATCGATTTCGCGCTGACTTTGCTCTGTAAAATATGCATTGTTCGGAGTCGCTGGCTTGTTACCATAGTTCGGTGCGATGAAGCGAAGCTGAGAAGTTTTGTCAACTTTTTGCCATGAATTTTTGTGGAATTTCACTTCTAACTTTAAAGGCGAGAAGCCCCCAGGTCTTTGAAAATACAACGTAACGACAGGCTAGTTACGTTTAATTCTTCATATTTTAGCTATTTGCGTGTATATCAGAGTGGCGTCTAATACTCAAAGAATTCATGAAGAATTTGACATTCCTTCGATTTAACGCCGGTACGAGTCTTAATAAACAATGCTCAAGATTCAAGAGATATAAGGAACCTTGCCCATTTTTTGCAGTTATGGACTAAAGTAAGGAATGTAAAACAAAGATGCGGGATAATTTTAACACCAAACATCCACCAAAACGTTATAAATATACCAGTTAAACACCATAAACACGGATCACACGATACGGCGGAAACAGCTTCACGACAATATTCCAACCTGACATATTGCAATCCTCGCCAAAGCTGCGTGCTTTCTTTCGATGATCCTCTGTTTTCTCAAAGCTTCCATGTGATAAGCTGCAGCCATTTAGTCGTTAGAGTATAAATTCCACAAGATCTCTAGCACTTACAAAGCAATTTCTCAAAGACCACGATGGCTCTCAAAGGGATTTGTTACCAGTTTGGTATCTAAGGACAAATACTTGCAAAGTACTATGGGGCGGCAAGGGTTTCCCCTTACATTCCGCGGGAGGGCTGTGTGCGCGCCGAGCAGACACAGCAAAGCGACAAATGTTCCGCAAATTCTCAGATTGTTGTTACAAAACATTTGACGACCAACTTCGCAGGCAGTTGTAGTTAACTGTGCTAGCTCTTGCGTTTTTTTTTTTTGTCTTAGAGAGGTTAAGCATCACGTTTGCGTCAAACGGCAAACGCGATTTTGTACCACATGACCAAGTGTCCCCTTTGATTTTATATCCATACGAATTTTCTTAGCTGTTTTTAATTTTAATCTGCTCATTTTCTATTTTGAGTAATTCTCAACTTGAATCTGACGTTTGCCGTTTGCCGTATACGTAAAGCTTAAACTCTCAATAAAAAAAAATTGAACTACAACTATTCACCACTATTCAAAGCACCTGGGCGTATCTCATCCTCGCTAATGCGGCTTGCTTTTTATCGACTATTCTTTGTTTTCTCAGAGCCTCATTGTGATAGGCTTCAGTCATTTTCTTGTTCAGTGCTGGATTTTTCTGACTGAATAGCAAAACTTGTTCAATTAGCAAAATTAGCTTCAGCGACGTCATTGTCGTCTATTGAATAATCGAATGCTAATTATCTGACGTCAATTTTGCATATTGCGGGAACAGAAATTGATGCGGATTTTTCCTACCCAATATATGTTATATGCACTTTTCGCAAAATCGTCTGATTGTTTTGATTTTGAAAGCGTTTAAAATATACTTAACATCTTATTAAATCATCAAGAAACTTTAAAATCCACCATGCACTTTAGCCTTTCTTAGCTCAAAGTCTAAAGCCCTTGAGTAGTTTTAAAGGGTCGACGATGCTCTCCATCATCAATTAATCACCTTCCAGTAAATAATGGTTAACATACTCATAACTCAGTATTCTTTGCTCAGAAATTACTCATTGTGCGCACTCACACACGTGCTTGGAATTCAGATTAATTAGTTCAACTATTCAAGCGACAAAAGTAAACAAAAAAACAAGGTTACGACAACGGTGTGAAATAAAACCATTCAAAGTAACGGCATTTCCAGGTAGAAAAAAGAAATAATAATTTCAAGCTATACTATATGGTCAGCATGATAAAACTTACTTTTAATATACAAGCCGCTCCCTTTCCTAAAAACCAAATCGGAGAGAGAGACTCTCTCCCCGATTGATTTTTTTAGGGCAGGGGGCGTCTGTGCACAGGCTAAGAAGATGGTGGCCAAGTAAAAAAGCTTCTGAAGAAAATGATTGCCATTAATACATCCCAATAGTGCAGTCGAGGGTTTTTATCAAATAAAAAAATAACTTTTCTGAGACATAATTCCTAATTTGAGTACTAAATATATTTCCGAACTAGAAGTCTGTGGACAAAATTCCACCTGTGTCCTCTGCTGTCGGGAATAATAATTGAGAGTACGCAACAGGGGCACCCAACGAGGATATAGTTCAAAACCACTTAACATAGCATTGTTGAACGTATTTTAGTATTCAAACGGTAGATATAGGCATATTTTTATCCCCTAGAAACTTTTCATCCGTTCGGATTTCCTAGCTGAAAGTCTAATGATCCGAAAATTATAGGGATAAAAATTTTCCTTCTCGAAAATTTCAGCCAGGAAAAGGCTCCCGAAAATTCTAGGTGGCCTTTTTTAGGGTCAAAATCCGTTAAAAATGGGTAATTATACCATTTTGTAGATGTTCGAAAATCCTAGGAGAGGCAGGCAAGCAAGAAATTTTTACAACAAATGCTCCGAAAATTCTAGATCTCAAATCGTCTTCCGAACAGATATTTTCCTGAAATTAAAATTGCCGTTGGGTGCCCCTGAAGCAATACTATGGCTCGAACTAATGTTCTAATGCCTATTTTGTTCCTACAATTTCTGTAAAACGTAAAAAAGCACGAGTTTCAAGTTTAAATGCAAGTGACTGCAGCAATAGAGCAAAGAGCTTTTGCCAAATTATTTTCCTTTTACTTTATCGTACTATGAATATCCTTAGAAAACTAGGTACAGTTGTATGTATGTTTTTCTGCATTTATGCTAACACCTCCTAAATGTGTAATGGAATTAACTCGAAAAGCAAGTGATTTAGAAAAGTTGGTTACAAGCTTATATCTGACGGTGTTGCTATGGAACATGATTCCCTTCGCAACTGTACTGGTGCTAAATATTGTTCTCTGTTAACTCAATTCTTACCGCTCTCTCTCTCAACCTGCGCATGGCCTCGTGTTTTCTATCTATAACTCGTTGTTTTCTTTGAGCTTCTGCATGATAAGCCATACTATCCATGATGGATTCCTTTCTTTTTGCCTTTCCGGTTAGTATAAGCACGTTCAACTGTAAATGAGACGCTGGCCGGGCAAATGAGGTTTAAAATAGGCTACTGTCTTATTAGCTCTCTTGGGAGTCCCTAACTGTCAAAAGAATCCTTCGTAGTGCTAATGAAAAAGATTAAGAGCTTCGTTGTGAGGCGTAAATGAAATCTTTTATTTACAAAATCCCGTTTTATCAATACAGTAAGACAAAGCTCTTTGCTTGGTGCAAACAAGCCTTTGTACTTGAGTAGAGTACATAGACATTCAAATCACGAAGTCAGGACTGTTGTCTGCAAAGTTTTGTGGATTGGAAAAACCCCTGTTAGACATGCGCGAAGGACAGAAACTGCTTCAATTCTGCATGCATAAAAATAATCGCGCAAGTTTTTGGACGTTTTCTGAATATCATTTCCAAAGTTTTGTGTTACCTTGAGGGTACTTCGCTATACTTTGCACTTTTGATATTTGTTTACAGTACACTTAAGAAATTTATTGACCAACCACAAACAAGGAAATGTACCTCCCAAGGGGTTCCAGAATCTACAAAAGACAATGCCTTGCAAACAAAGTGTTAAGAAGATAGGGTGTTAAATCACGTGTAATACGTAACCACAGAAGCTAGATTGTCGTTTGCAATCTTTTTGCCAGGCACAAAGGTGTTTTGTCTTGAAAATATAAAAAAAGGTCCGTTTAGAAAATGTATGGAATGGCCTACCACCAAGAGGCTCAGAGAAGATTCCGAGTTATCGAAAGAAAGCATCTCGCTTTGGAAAATCTCAAACGCCAAAAGCTTGCTAGAATGGTAAGACCTTAATTTCGAATTCGAATTTGCAGTCATGAATTTGTTTTTTTCATGGCTCACCATTTATTGCAAATAAGAGGTTTATTCTTACGCTGATACACATATAGTGACTTTTGCGTAATCCGAGTCAGACTGAACCTTTACTGATTACTTCAACTATCGGTTACGGAAGAACTAAAATGTTTGCTCAACACATTGAAAAGTAAAACAATAGCTAGAGAAATGGATTATTACATTTGTTTACTAAACTTTGGAATGGAGCAGCATTGCCGAATTATTGAAGAAAAGCATATTAGTTTATGGTATTATATGTAGCTTAGCACGCTCTTAGCTGCTCTTGGTTGTACCCATTAAAGTAACAATTTTGGAGCGACCCTTAAAACTTCTGCTCGTGATAAACATTTAGTCGGACATGCATATCAGAGGGGGGCGTAAGGGTTTGCGGTATTGCGGTATTAGGTAATTTTTGGTGCGGTGTTGCGGTAATTTTTATTTCAAAGTACGGTATTGCGGTTTTCCTAGACCAAGCGGTGTGCGGTGAGTTTAAATTTCATGTCGCGGTACTCGGTGAAAAAATCGTTGTGTCGCGGTGATCTGCTTCTTTTTCATGCGAAGAGGATACAAGTCCTAAAAGGTCTCCCTAGCTAGCCTGCGTGACCTGCGTGTCTTCCTATAGTTGCACAGTCGGGGATCGTATATTGCGCAAACAGTCCAGACGAATCGTATGGCTTGTAATTTCAGTTAATACTTGATATGATTAACGACATTAACTTTTTTATCCAATGATACGTAAACATGTGGCATTATTTATGACCTCATGGACCTTGTGGGAGTAGTCAGCTTGGTTAACCTCCTTAGGAATCTTACCACCACTTTCTTACCAGTCGCAAAACAATGGCAAGCGATCCAGAGGGTCAACTAAGTGATCAGTCAGATATTCCAGCAAATTGAGGTCAGTGAGGTCGTTATAAATTGCGTAGTGTCGAAAGATAACCTATGAAGATGATGTGGTCTAAGATTTACTACTCGTCCTTCTCGTTGTGCATGCAGAAATATAGAATGTACAAGTATTCGTGTGCGCTTAGCCTACGTAGCATGGCAACCCGGGGGAGGGGGCGGGGTTACTTCCTTATAAGAGGCTAATGGGGATGTGCCGCTGGATGGGGTCGCATTTTCACGAGTGGATTGACTAAAATGGGGTCGCATTTTCAAGAGAGTTACTAGAATGGGGTCGGGCATTTTCTGATTTTTGGGGGTAAGACAGTTCTTCATATTTACGGTTAGCAAACGTACCAGAATGTTTGTACTGTAGATGAAAAGTAAAGTGTTCTTCATTCAATCTAAAAAATGGTCAATTCATAAAAATAGAACGTGACTAAGCTAGCATCGCGAAAATTAAGTATTTGTCCAAAAGTGACTAAGATGGGGTCTATAATTGGCCACAGAATAGACTATAATGGGGTAGGAGCTCTGAGAGGCCAGCGGCACATACCCACCAAAAATTAACCCAAGTAACCCCGTTGTGTTATTTACATAAACGTATACATGTAATGAACAAAATTAAACGAGTGCGACGATCTTATTTTTATCGCACGCTTGACTTCGACGCACCATGCTTGACTTGGAAACACTGACATAAAAGTATTATTTCTATTTGAAAGAAGGATTTGTAGTAGTGACAACGTCAACTTTTTCCCATTTGTAACTGCGGTTTCGGTATTTGGCTAAATTTTGATGCGGTATTCTCGCGCCACCATGTGCGGTATTGCGGTATTCGTACCCCCCTTACGCCCCCCTCATATCACCTATTCTATTACAACATTTCGTAACTAGGACAACGCCATTCCACCTAACTAGTACTGGTTATTTTTGCATGCTTTCTTCCGCTAAACATTTGAAGGTGCGGCCTGCACAGCACTCTGATTAGGGCAAAAATAAATAAATAAATAAATAAATAAACCATTTGCATCTCACTCCCCCACCTAGCCTGAATTTCATCCTATTACTTCGAGTCGCTATTACTCCCTCAGTAACAACCTGTTCAGAGTTGTACTGCGTGCAGTTGATAGTTTGAACGTTAAACATGAATTACGATCGAAAAAAATAAAGCAATTCTGTATCATGCAGACATTTCCAAACTATATTTCTCGGTTTGCCACTTGAAAATCGTGCTTTACTTTTTGCGTGAATTAAAGCAAAAGTCAAGGAGTAGTGACGTCACTGGACGGCATGAACGGCCGGTCGATTCAGACGTTACTGAGGGAGTAATAACGACTCGAAGTAATCGGATGAAATTCAGCGAAGCAGCACCACAGTTTCGTTAAAAAGTAACCCATTCATCAATACGTGAGTATACTGGCAAGTCAAGATGAACAAGTAAATGAGAAAGCATTCCCTTGAAACTGGATGAAAGAAGCAGAACTACACTGCACCGCCGTAGCCAGTATGAGGCGAACCGAGGCACTCGCCTCGGTAAAATTTTATCAAATACTGTCGATGTTTATTTTTTTTATCAGACTGATAATATTAGAAGATTTCATACGGCTGATTTCGTACAACGGACCGTGTGTTCGCCTCGGTTGTCGTTTCTTCCTGGCTACGGCCCTGCACTGGGTGTAGCTGTGTGTCTGTAAAAATAAATAACCATGACATTAAATAGAGCCCTTTGCTTAACCGATAGCATAGATTCAAATAACGGATCAATGTTAAATTTTAAAGTACATTTGTACCTCTTTTAGCGGCCACCCAGGGGAAATAGATACATAGCCGTAGTAGGTTGGTTAAACAAGGGAGAATGTCCCGACAAGAAAAGGAAAAGTGGCTGAACGTAATGAAATAGTCTCTCCACAGACTTTCTCCTCTGTCCGGTAGACCTCGAGCTAGTGAACGAAAATAAAAACTGCAAAGGAGTTATTGAGCGCCACCAAAATCGAAGGGGTGAAAGCGCTAAAAAGAAAAATGTTTATGGAGGTTAGGAGGCCGTTTATAGGGGTTCAAATCAGGAGCTGAGATTTTAAAGATTTTTTACCGAGAGATGATTAGTTTACAGCAACTGTTGAGATGATCTTTGTTTTCATTCCAGGAAAAAGACACAAGTAAGAGGGTAAACGAAATGGAAAACAACGAGAAAACAGGAACAAGGGCAGGGACACGCGCGAACACTCGTTCGGAAACACGCAACATGACGAGAAGTGGCCCGCGCGCGGCAAACGAGCGTGAAGCGTTCTGGGTTCCAGACATCTGTAATACCACTACTGGCAGCACGTACTACCGTGAACTCATCCCACCAAGACCTGAGCCGCTACATCAATGGCGGGATTTAAAGAACCGAATCAGACATGACTACAACCTTGTACCACTACCTTACAAGAACGAAGACATCGTTCAAAGATGACCTCAGATGCAAGGAGTCGGTCCATGTTTTGTAAAACCGTTTTTTGCACCTCCACTATCCCACCCTCTCTCACACACACACACCTGAGCAGACCTCTCTAGTAATGAATGAATACCATGTTGTCATGCCAACAATAATATTGCCAAATGTTCTCATTTTTAGTTTATCATTAGCATCTCATGTAAATTTAAATTCAAATTTTAGCTCTTTTTCAATATAGCTCTGGCCTTAAAGGGGCTGTTTCACGGCAGTCCACTTATTTTTTTTTAATTTTGCCAATTACTGGCCCTCAATCGCTATAAAACGTAAAGTAAGCAAATAAATTACATGGAAATCACAAAATCAGAGATTCGAGACAAACAAATACGTCTCCTAAGTTGAAGTTGCAAACAGCAGAGATACACTTTGAAAAACTGTTAGGCTGAACAGTTTTCAAAAACCCTAATTTCAATCTGTTTCAATCTTCTGCAGCTTTGCCCATCCGTGGCATCTGTTGTATCTGTTGTGTTACTTTAACCTTCCTTTAATGTTTTAAGCGGTTATTTTTATGTTTCTCTTAATTTAACGGGCATTTTGTAATTACCTAATTTGGCTGAATTTCGTGACACAGCTCCTTTAAGGAAGGCTAATTTTGTCAGCCAAAATATTGGCCTCAAATAAATCAGCCCTTTGCGGTATTGCCAGCCTTGCACTCAGTTTTGTTTTAATTCCCACTACAAGTGACCGCTGGCATTAGCACCAGTCTACATTAGAGATCCGGCCGGAAAGGACCAGTCGATTTTATTTACACGCATAATTCAAGAAAAAGGATGATTTGTGCAAATAAACTTACATTTTAGCATGTGGAGTTTTTCCTTATTCTCATCTCTATCTCATCATTTCTAAAAGCTTTTTGCATTTAAGGACAGACAACTCTCTTTAAGACCATTGTTGCTGGAACCAGTACTTATAGTGTTCATCTTAAAATGTATCTGCCATAGAGGGCCTAAGAAAGTAGCTGAAGACTGGCATGGCTCATTGCTAGATGACTGTTTTAGGCATGTGTCCGTCTAGTAGGTTAGGTCCGCCGTTCAGAGCCAGTCGACTGTATGTGAGTTTTAGGACAAAAAAGACAAGTTTTTATGCTGACTAAAATTTATTTCCACAAATATATTGTTTTTCATATTACAAATACACTGAAAAATAAAAATACAAGAGGTGAACAACATTGATGGTAAGCTTGGGTAGCAATACATGTACAAGAATTAGTAACTCTGACGACCACTTGTGTTACCACAGATAAAGGTGAAGGCACTGACGTTTTTGAGGTTTTGGTATTATACTGTACAGCTGATGAATTTAAGAACACCATGGACAACTCAAGTTGAGTTTGACGATCACCTACCACGACCTAAAAAAGGATAGAATTCAACATGTTTTTTAAATGCAACTTTAAAGAAAACAAAAAAACCCCTCACTGACACTGAAAGCTACTGAAAAAAGCAATTTTTACTTATAAAGTTCACAGCCACCACACTGAAATAAACAAATATCGTAATGCAAAACATTTAATCAAAAAATCTAACTGGCATAAAACAAACCCCGATTTAGCCTGCATAGCACGACAGTTTTTAGGTTGGGCGTGCAAAGCAATAAAGGCACGTGAGGGCAGAGAAACCTCGAGGAGATTGGGGGAGGGAGAATTGAGAAAGTTTTTATTTCTCTTGTGGTCGTTCGTGCGCTTTTGTGTCTTCGCTACTCAGTATTGCATTCAACAAAACCGCCATGCCACCCAGGCTAACCCTGATTTAGCTGTTTACAAGCATGGCTGATTGGATTGAACTTGGAACTAACAAGAAACATATCCAGCCACTGAGGTATTGGGGTCATTATAATCCAACACACTAACCACTCTACAAAATATTTCTCTCGTTTTTTTTTTGAATTCTCCTTTTTCTTATTACAATAATTCTGTCAAAAACACATTTTTTGACAGAAATACTAGAACACTTTGAAAATAAGAAAATAATATCTAGTTGCTTTTGTTAGTAAGGTGAAAGAGGCAAAATTTAACCAAGAGTACAAAGCATTTTGATTACCGTAGCTTTAGCCTCTGTTCCAAATTACAAGAATAGAAACTGAAGTAAATGATAATTATTTAATAACAAATTTTATAATACCTCTAAAGCCTCCACCACCACCTCTGAAACCTCCTCGAGAACCACCGCCTCCACCTCTACCTCCCCCACGAAAACCACCGCCTCCACCTCTACCTCCCCCACGAAAACCACCACCTCCACCTCTTCCTCCCCCACGAAAACCGCCACGTCCACCACCGCGACCACCCCTGCCTCCACCTGAAATCATAACAAGAAACACAATAAATTTATCCCGTATACAAAATATCTGCTAATGTCAATTCTAGTGGCAGATTCAGGGAAGGGCCCAGGGGACCTGGGCTCCCCTCATTTAAAAAATTTTTTTTTTGAGACTGCCCCCCCCCCCCGCCACGTTATCGCAGGGTCTGGATGACTGCCCCCTCCCCCCTTATCTGAAGGTCTGGATCTGCCACTAGAATTCAACCAACAACAGACAAGGACCTCTGACATTAACAGGTTAATGAAAGTTACACATGTATACTGCAATCAAGAAGTTCACAAGAAGAGGTCTAAATGGAATAGTGATATCATAGAATTCTGTTAACATTCAAAGGACAGTTTCAAGGATAGTTTGATGGTGATTTTGTCGTGTGGAGAGATGAACTCTTCCACTCCCTTATTGAATGATGGATTCTTGAAAGGTGGTTCTAACGTTTGAGACCATGGACAAAATCCTGTGACATAACCATTCAAATAAACCCTCTCCGGCAGCACTTTCAAAAGGTGCTATATGGTTTTCAGCATTTTAACACGATGAAATCTGGAAATTTTGTTGGATTTTGAGTTTGGTCACTTCTGGAAGGGAAAGGTTAAAAAAGAAGAAGGTTGCCAATGTAAGATCACCAGGATTAGGATGGATAAAGGTACGCTTCTCATTCAAGTTTGCTATGTAGAGATGCTGGCACAAAACACACAAGAATATAGAATACCTCTTCCTCTGCTGCCAACACCCCCTGGGGGTCCTACAAAGTAAATAAATGGACTTATGTTAAAAAGTCTTTCAAGAAATCTCTAAGAGAACAAACATGTACTTTTTAAATAGAACCCTTGGAAATTTGTTTATGGTAAACTTGGCACAAAAAAAATCTCCTCGCAAACAACTCTGTACACCTGGTCCTGATAGTTCAAATGTTGGATCGGGTTATCCACTGGCTATATCACTGTACAGTGGAAAAGTATTTGGGAAACCAATTGTGCTATCCATCGCATGGACACTTATCCAGTGGATAGTGCTATCTAACTTTTGAACAACAGGGCCCTGTTGGCAACTGTAAAAAAATAAAAGCACTTTTTTTGAGTGTCAATGTATTTAGCACGAAAGCACTCATTGGAGATGGGAACGCCATTTAACGTGGTCATCCGAGCCATGCGAAGGTCTGGCCATTTGCAGGGCATAGGCAGTACCTCCATTTTTCAGTCATTTTAAGACCCTGAGTGTGGCCCTGACCCTGGTCCGGTCCTGGGAATTGAACCCGCGACCTCCTGCTCTGCAGTCAAGTGCTCTACCAAACTGAGCTAATCCTGGCGTGGTTACTGCAGGAAACAGGTTCATTGAATTGACTGTTTCTGTTAAGTACTAGTGTTGGATAAAATTTAACCACGATATTTACCTTTTTGTCCAGGAGGCTTTGGAAGAAATCTGGCCAAAGGTAGGAGCTTCATTGGATCAATAAAAAACTGGTGGAGAAGGAATCACAAAATTAACTAAAGAGAAAATTCGTGGCTGGCTACCAAAATTAAGCCACAATTATAAACTATCTCATGTACATGTATGATTTTGTGTCCACACATCTCTGTACTGATCAAGTCATCACATCCGTGGATGTACAGTACATTTTTTTCTCCTGTCTCATATTTAAGCTCAGCCATGAAGCCCTGTGTGAACAGATGCAACATTGTTGGCCAACAACTCCCAACATTGAGGGAACATAACATGTTATGTCCGTTTGCACACCCTGTTGCATGTTGTTGCGTGTTGTTGGGAGTTGTAGAGCAAAGTTTGAAACCAGTCAAACTTTAAGAAACAACTCTCAACATTGTTGGCCATAGCTTAAAAAGTAATTTAAAAATATTCCATGAGACTACATTCACAGTGGAGCACTGTTGATATGACCACTGTTGGACCCATCTGGGTGCTTGTGTTAGTAAGGTAGCATCACATTATGTTATTAAGTCCTTTGGAACTAGCTGATGCCTTGTATATTTCTTACTTTCAAACAGCAGGATATTATTATATATTATCGCACTCTCGTGTTGATTTCCTTCATTTTGAAATATTACCCTCTCTTTCGCGTTAATTTCCTTTATTTGAAAGTTGTGTTTCAATACATTGTAAATTCACGTTAATTCAAGTTGCATTAATTTCCCGTACCTTAATTTCATGGAGCTTTAATTTTCTATACTAAGGTATACCTATTTACCATACCTTCTGATCTTTTTTAAACGATCCTGCTTTCATGTCTGTGTTAACCTTCACTGAAAAGTACTGTATTTATAGGAACCTAGTTCAGGAAGTATCTATGTTATTTCACATGTAAAATATACATTGTATCTCATTAAAAAGGGAGTAAGGTAAAGTGAGTTGTTTGCTTTCAAATGGTTGTTGTGCAGAGGTAGCTACCAAACACCAGCTGATTCAGATGCTCCCATTAAAAAACTTATGAAAAATCAACCGTGCAAGATTTTAAAAAATTGTCTCTTTAAATTTAATATACAGTTCAGTGCTTGACACTAACAGTAGTCCACTAGCCCATGACTAGTGTGAATAACTTCATACTGGGCTAGTAAAAATGTGCTCCTCCTAGCCCCTAGACCAGTTAGTTAGCTGGAAAAAATATGTTTTCTTTGCAACTTTTCCTTAGGGTTACTCATAACTTGGGAAGTTCTTTTTCTAAAAGGCTTCCATCAGAAGTTTCTAAAGCTTGAGTATTAAATGTAAACCAAAGGACTTGCTATCCATGACTCACAAAACAGATGCCATTATACGTCCTGGCTTTCATGTCACCCAATAAAGTAGGAACCTGGGTTAGAGCAACCATTGGTCCACCATCTTGGAATCTTTTTGCACAAATTCAATGCAGGAATAAGGAAGATTTCAAGCTTTTTTTGACAACTTTTCTTTGAGAAAGAGTCCTTCAATGGCCAATGATTCCTAGGCAGATTATTATTGTTTACCAGGGGACCAAACACAGCATGAAGAGTAAAAGAAGTGCGATATTAAAGCCCGCAAGAAGTTTTCAACCAAGTTGGAACAAAACATACCCATGGCTGCAATTCATTGAAGGAAAAATGAACTGTGAATGAACTTGTGTATCCTCAAACAGCAGTGTTCAGAGATTAGCAAATCTGCATTTGCCATAGGAACAGACAATTTCTGTTTGGAAGTGATAAGGGGTCATGAAATTTCTGTATCCCACATTTTTTTTTTGGACAACATTTTTTTTTTGGGCCAGTGGCCTGTCTTTGTGGGCTAGTGATTTCTTTCACATACTAGCCCATTGCCTAGTGTCCAAAATAGTTAGTGTCGGGCACTGCAGGTTTAAGGTATCTCCACTTGACACCACTTGTACTTGAGACAACCCTGAAGGTATCTGGTAACCTTCAATAGCCCTTAGGTCCTAATCTCATAGGAAATCCATTCTCAAGTTTAAACCAGTATTCAAACTAGTTTAATTCAGAATTTACTTTGTTTCCTACCCCTAAAAGTCCTTAGGAGACAACATCTGGTGTGTGAAATATTTGAAGGAAAATCAAGGCTTTGATTGTTACCCCATAATGTGCTGTTAAGAGACAAAGGAAACTCTGGTTAAACCTGAGAACCGGATTTACCTGCAGCAAATACACCAACAACTAAGTAAGGAGAGGTTGCCACACTGACTATGATCAAGTGATAAATTACATCTATCTCTATTAAAATACAAGGATACAAAATCTGTCATTGGACCAAAGATGTCATCTACTTTGCCAATCTGTGACTTGTTCTCTAAATAAACTGGAGCATTGAAGTAAGGAATCTTCTCATTGGTGCATTTGCAGACTAGGTCACCCTCGCAGGTGTGAAGAACTTGGCCTAATTCTGTGCACGAAGGATAGTCAAAGGAAAAACGTCTTTAGTAAAGTGTAGTATTAAGCATGGAAGTACTAATTTTATTCAGGAAACAGTATTTGCATCTCTTTCCACGACCCCACAACCAATACTACAGGGTCATTTGAGCTAGACAAGAGCCTTGCTGTTTGCAGGGCAAATGGCAGTAACTTCATTTCTTAGTGCGTGTTCGATTGACAGTATTCTGAAATAAGAATAAATGGAAAAATGTCTACAAACCATTTGTTTTGATATTCATTGCGTTGCAATGTCTGTAAATCTGCTTAAAATAAATATTGCAATGTATGTAGCATTAATATAAGTGATCCAAAAATCACAGTACAAGAGATTTGTAACAAAACTTTTGCATAGTCCTATTCTAGAATACGCTCAATTACCAAAAGCACCCTTAGTTATTTTAAGGCCCTGAGTCCCAGTCTGCAGCTTAGCTGTCACTAATAGCTGGGGACCAGGGGCCTACCCAAGCTACTATGCTGATGTTCCCTGGACAATTCCACATGAAGAAAATGGAACATACAACCAAAAAAAATTCCTAGCTGTGCAGTTCCCTGTGAACTGTGACAACCCTGCAACAGTCCATTAATTTATCGACAGAATTAACCATGCCATGCTAAAATGTTTTCAAGCACAATTGTCCTTACATGTGTAGTTGCTCCCAAATTTCAACTGACAGGCTTATTTACACCGCACACTGAACAAGCATTCTGAACACCCAGAGCCTTCAACAATCAATCCCTCAATTTAGAAAAGAAGGAGCTAAACTACAGAATACAGGGTAAATTTTCTAGGTATATTTGTTGGGGTGACTTGGCAGCTCGGCAGTCCTGACTGATGAGCTGTCGAGCCATTAAAATATATATCTTTCTTGTTCTCTAAAAGGCTAACCTCGACTGACGAGCCATCATGCCACCAAGCCACTAAAATTTTACCTTAACTTGTTCTTTAAATTTTATACTTTTAACTGTCTGTCTTATACTTATATGTCTTATATCATCATTGTTATTTAAAAACTCACGAGCCACCAAGTTAACAGTATACGTACTGTTAACATTCCTCTTTAGGAGAAACTACGGATTACAGGCCCATATTTTAAGGTCTTAAACTATTAGTATATGTACTCATGGTATAGAAAAGTAAATCATATCATGGGGCAACATCTTTAGAATAAAAACTACACAGCTCTATCTGTCCTGATTTGATCTTCATTAAGTCTTCAATAAGACCCCTCATGAGGCCCGATTGAGACGAAAGACGTATTCACGAGTATTAAGCCTAAAGTCATGCATATAAGCTCAAGTTTGAGAACCTTGACTCATAGTTATTTGCTAGCTTACCTATAACAGATTCAGGAGGCCCAAAATCTCGCTGCTGAAAACCTCCTCTTCCTCCACCTCTCCCGCCTCCTCGGCCTCCCCCACGGCCGCCACCACGGCCTCCACCTCGGCCCCCACCACGGCCACGAAAAGACATAAATATATAGTCACTGACCAGCTGGGAATTCGCACAAATTTTGATCGAAACGAACTCGCGTTTGTTGTTGTCTGACCGCGTGGTGCAAAGAAACGGCTTGCTAAGTAACCACTCACTATGTCATTCGAGAGGCTACCAAGCCCTAAGCCTGATTTATTTCCAGGTCCCGCTCGTTCTTGATACGGGGGCAGGGTTGAACGGGTTGGTTGAATGAGGGCAGGGTAGTCTGTGAGAGCAAGCTAAACTCATTATAGCGCCCTCGGAGAGCTTACTCGCAGGTTACATTATTTACACCAACATCATTTACAACTTTTGGTCTTTCTGTCAGATATTGGAGCATTTTCAAGCAAACAGCAAAAGAAACAATTCTGGCATCGCTTTCGGGATTTATTAGGGAACTTAAGCACCAGACGTTTTCTACGGGGCGACGGCAACCGGAAGTCAAATTTACTTCCGATCCACGTTTCCCGCCGACAGAGTCGGCCGTCGCGACTCTGCGCCGACTTTGTTTTGCTTATTTTGACGTCGCCTGTAAAACGTGAGTTTTGCTTTTATGATTTTCGTGCTTTTATATCATTTTGCCTGCGATGTTTTGCAGTTAGTGATACGTAAAATTTTATTCTGTCGTTTTGGCGATTGTAGGAGCGATTGTCGTGTATTACAGGTCTGTTTTTTTTTAACTTTTTAGGCTCTATCAGGGTCGTAACATGGTATATGGGCTCAGGGCTCAAAGCCCAAAATATGACTGGGATCAGGGCTCAGAGCAAAGGGCTCAGGGCTCAGAAGAATGGGATCAGGGATCACAAGGCTTTTGAGCCCGAATCGGGGATCAGATTTATTACACGGTCTAAAAATCTCTTATCACACTATTTTTCCGCTTAATAAGGTTTGTGTCCATAGAATTTCCTGGCCGAGGTACATTACCTATTCTTGCTTCCGGCTGGCAGCAGTTCCTGTCATACGAAGTCCTGGTTGTTTGACGAAAACATGGTATCATATTCTTAATTTATTAATTGTTGAGGGCACCGTAATGTGAATCTCAAGTCACTTTTCTCGCTTTGTAACGCAACTCCTCAACGCGCTGTCAACGCCAGAAGGCAGAGAAAGCGATTTATACATATCTTTTTTTGCGAGAAATGGGGAAGAAGAAAAAGGACAAAAAGAAATCCTGTGACAGAGAAAGGTACGTAAGTACTTCCTTGACTGATTTACTCCTGGCAAGGGTCCAAGCATAGAGTTTTTCGGCCGATCAAACATAACAATACCGCCAGGACAATAGACAAACCGATTCATTGAAAGCGGAATTTACTGTACAAGCGCCGATTGCCTCATCGCCTCAAGGCAAGTCACAAGGCGACTATAAATCGAGGTTCGTATTTTTTGACCAGTAACTTGACTCTTAAAAGTACTTATAAATAATTAGAATGGACGCCAAAAGTAGAATACAAAAGTACAATGAATTCGCGCGTTTAAAATGTTGCAAAATAAGTGCTTTCTCGCAATTTAATAAACCTGCTCTAATTGCATAGAGTATTAGGGTTATCTCGAACTCTGATGGAAAACCGAGATCGGTTCACCTACCAGTACTAGTATTGGGCCGGGAAAGTAAAGGACTGTATCACTACTATATCATTACTGTATCACTGATAAACGCTAGCTTGTATGATAAACAGTCTCAAATTACAGTGTAGAATTAGTGAAAATAAGTGGAACACCAAAGACTTACCTCGGTGAAATAAAAGTAACAAAACCTTTATAGTTTATTTTCTTTAGTTTTTTTTTTATAAAATAAACGGTTGAATTGGTGAAAGGAATGTTGCATACTAGGTACAAGTAGCAGAGTCTGCAGGCATTTAATATATTATAGCACTCGGCATGAAGGGCCACCAGTAAGGGGCCCACTATTTGATTTTTGAGTCGGGGATGGGTTATTTTTTCATGCAAGATTTTTTCAGACCTCATTCGCAGTGGCTATTTCGTTTTGCACAAAATTTACAGACTTTAGTGACAATATTGATCTACAAGAATTTTTGGGCCCTTTCGCTATTCGGCCTCGGCGTATGTAATGGTTGGCCCGAAAGGCCACCTTAGATTTGGACCCTGAATTTTTAGTGGAGTGAGAACACCCGCCTGAACGACACACGTATCGCGCGGCCCAGCTACCTTTTTAGAATCAATAGAGAGGCTCCACCAATCCTCGTTTATATCTTATACGTATACCGGTCGTCAAAGCCATTACACACAGAGAAAGCTGGGTCCAAAGGCACCGGAATGGCTTCGAAAGTCGCACGGCAAGAGTAAACCTAAAGGAGGATATGGACGAGGAAAAGAACGGGGAGGGAAAGGAGCGACAAAGGAAGGCATTGCAGAACTTTGCGAAAGAATTCGGACGGGGTGTACGACAGCAACGAACGAGAGGGAAGACCAAAGAAAGAGCTGGTACACTTCAATCCACTTGCTCTGAGTATGTTCAGAAGGAATGCGTCGGCATATGGAGAAGTCGATCTGCTGAAAGAGGTTCAAGGGAGTGAAGGACCGACAAACTACAGT